AAGTCTTAGAAGAGGTTTGCACAGAGCCCTGGCGCAGTATTTTAGCACACAGCCTGGTACTCCGTCGGGGCCTGGCGAATAAATGGGTTTTACCCTTAAAAGACCAGATAATAAGTTGTTCTCAGAAAAGACGGACAGAAAATAAGATTTGCTGCTTGAATGTTATATGCATAAGGCTGATCAGTCAATTTAGGAGGAGAATAAGTTGTTTGAAAAATTCTGCGAATAGATCGGCAATGGCCTGATCCGAAGTCGCAGAGGAATTTTCAAACATAAGCAGAGGTGAAAAAGATACGTGTTTACGCTTAGTGTTTACAAAATTATAAAACTGCTTTGGATCCTGAGTAAATTGAATCCGGCAGCGGTCAATATAATTCCTATAACATTCAGCGTTATGCACGGTAAAATTCGACCGAGCTAGTAGGTATCTTGAGAAATCAACACTACTGCAGGTTTTTTTATATTTAAGTAAAAGCTTATTTTTTTTATTTTTTAGGTTAGTGAGGGACCTTGTATACCAAGGAGGATTTGTTGAAGCGGACGGATGTTTCCAAGGCACACATGAGTCAAAAAATGTATTTAAAGTAAAATAAAATTTTTCTAAAGTGACATTAAGATCAGTGCACGCCAGAATATCAGACCAGTCAAATGTATCGATAAGGCTATTAAGTTTTTGAAAATCAGCTTTACGGAAACAGCGAATCTTATTTACCACGCTCGGAGACATCTGATCGATACCAGGAGTGGTTTCGATTGAGACCTCCAGCGTGGGGTGATATGGATCCTCTGGGGCTGAAAGGGGAAAAGCTCTGGAGAGAGCGGTACCATCCGGATCAGATACAAAACATAAGTCTAAGAGCCGACCTAGCGAATTTCTAACATGATTGATCTGACCTAGGGACATGTCAAACATGCCCGCGGTGAAGTCATGGTAAGTTATAAGTGACAAAGATGGTGAGTTATCGACGTTGGACCACTTTAATTCTGGGATATTAAAGTCGCCCACCGCTACGAGTTGGTCACGATCCGTCATAAGATTAGAGACGTATCGAATAGCGGACAAATGCTGCCAATATGTGGGCGGTTCAGACATAGGAGGTATATATGAACATGTAATGTATAAAGCTTTCACGGACATAGTGATTTTAACGCAAATAAATTCTATGTCACCAAACTCTTGGGATTTCACCTCTTCAGAAGCAAAAGTAGAGTCTACCGAAATGAGGACTCCACCTCCTCTTCGCTGAGATCGATCCCGTCTAAAAGTGGTGTACTTACTTGGAAAAACTTCGGAGCTAAAGATCTCGGATTTAACCAAGTTTCTGTAAATGCTATTATATGGGATGCAAAGAAAGAACTATCAGAATATAGCTTGGGGAGTTTGCTACGTAGCCCCCTAGTATTCTGATAGGTAAGAGTTAGTGAGGAAATTAGTTTTTTGGGTTAGAGGCCAAAGAAGAGGTGGAGGGTTGGTCAGTGGTTCCGATATTGGGAAGTCTCACTCCCACTGGTTTATTAACTTTTTTTTAACGGAACTAGGCTGATGTTCTTGGACGAAAAGATTCTCTGGCCAAAAACTGGGAGAACAAATCGTCTTGAACATCAGCGCGGGCACACGAATCTTGAAAGAAGACGTGCGCCTTGTATAATTGTATTTAAATTTTTGTATGTCCTCCACCTTTATATCGGCTTTAGTTTTGGCTTTGATATAAGCCGAGATATCAATCTCTGAAGTATCAGGGGCAAGCCGAGAAACAAATATATGTTTCGATGGAGGAATCACCTGTAAGGGTTTTGGTGTCGCAGGTACAAGAACTGCAGCATCAGTCGGTGCCGGTGGTCCGGACTGTGGAATACCCTTTTGGGTGACCCTAATGGGGGTTTCGTTCCCTAGGACCTGTGGCATCACTTGAAGGGATGCCATGGCGGACATATCGGACAATTGCTCATTATCCCTGAGAAATTCTGACGAATTTTTCTCAGTTAAGGCCCTTGGGGTGGCCAGAGTTATAAGCGGCTGCATTAATGTCGGCTGAGCAGGCTGAGGCGGATCAGAAACAGCGGATTTCTTACGCTTAGGGGACTCATTTAGCAGCTGAAGGCCACTAAATTGAGTGTCAAGCGCACAGAGCTGGTCATTGATTTTACGAAAACCAGTGATCAGCTCTTTAAATCCATTTTTGGTCTGTCTCATGAACGACCTCATTTCGCCTTGCACAGCACGACAATTTTCGCAACAATAATGTATCCCAGACCTACGGGAAATGGCATCCGAAACTGATGCAGTGAAACCGGCACACTTGGCGTGCACGACGTTTTCACATAACCAGCAATGGATACTAGGCTGGGATGTGGAAATCGTCTTGTTGCAAGACTTAATGGCACAGACCAGTTTAAATTCCATTTTGTTTATTATTATTATTTTTTTTTTTTTTAATTTAATAAGGCAAAAATTAATATTTAAAAAGTTAAAAAACACAATACCTTGAACCACTGTGCCAAACAAGAAGCCGAAGCAGGAGCTTTGAAAGAGTGCACAAGAGAAATGCAGAAAATATAGATAAGCCGGGGAAGAAGCAGAGCTGAGCTATGCTTGGAATAGAATTTAGACAAATTATTAATTCGATTCCAAATATACCAAAGCACTCGCGAAGCGATACGGTTTAGGCTTTAAGATTGTTATGATTAACAAGATTTAATTCACAAAGTATGTAAACACCGGTTTACCAATATTTATCAAAAACGCAGTGCGCACAAAAAAACACGACCGTTCGCTTGAAAGAAGAGAGGGATTATGATTAATTTAATGCATTCAAAATTTAACTACAACTTCATTTCGGTTTATGGCGACGGGCAACAAATCGCCGTGCGTTAATTAATTTTAATAACCATCTTTATTCCACATAACAGCTGGCCAAGTCACGCGTGTGTGGCGTTTTAACTGTGCCATCGTAAATATTTAATGGCAAAACACTTAGTTGGCCAAAACGAGGAGCTTTGGTGCTCGTATTCCATGCAGGAGCTGTTGCATGAATAATAAATGGTAGTTGCCTAAAAAATGTTTACTATTCTTGAGCTAAGTATTCCTAATCCCCCGGCAATAATATTAATTTTAGGGTAATTCATTGAGTTTATTAGTATGTATACTTGATTTCCATCGGCTGTGCCAGTCTATTCTTGGCTAAAATTACACACACCTCACAAAAGTCAGGTTCCGGTTCACAGATATGACTACGCATAATCGTAACATACGACAATTCTTTGGCTTCACCTCGAGAAACACCCTTCCTGGGCATTTACTTCTTTAAGGGGGGGTTCTTTTTCTTTGTGGCCCCGTTCCCGGAATTACATTCCCTTTGAATTCATTTCCTTTGTGATGGTAGCAGCAGTGTATTGTAAATATTCATTACATGTGTGCAGCAAATTTTAATTTTTTTCACAAAACTGCAAAACCTTAAAAAAGGGGGTGGCTCAAACACTTACCACGCCACTCCATTTCCACCCAGCTCCTTGGAGGACGAGGGTTGGCACTGAGTGCACGACATTCATTGTCCTTAATGAACATTCGCATCCATTACGCTTGCATTATGTATGTAATGTCATAAATAATCAACAAAAAACGTGCTCTGTGAAAACCATAAAAAATTTGCCAATATTGCTTCAAATACCGGCAACAGATGCCACAAATTCGCTATGCCAACAGCCATGTGGTTTTCTATTTTTTTGCCAAAAATTCTATTTTAAGAAGAGGTAGCAACAATCAAGAGATTATATATATATAGAAGAAAATATAGTTGCTAGGTCTATTTTTAATAAACAAATGTTTTCTTATTGTACCACTTTTTGGCTCTGAAAATATTAGTCCTAAACACTTCCAAATATTTATGTATTTAGCCAGACTTAAGCACTCTCTATTGTTACTAAATAGTGCGTAAAAAAATAACAAAAGCCTTTTTAGAAAAATGCAACCCTTTTTTCGGTTTCAACATAAGTGATCTATGGATGCCGCGTAAATACAAAAAAGTTGTTTCTCATATATCAGCGCGTTATATCCAAAAATTTGTTCCTCGGGGAGATCGCAATCGAGTGGTTTACCAGCAACCCTTTTCACGCTGTTACCCAACTATCTGTGACCCTTGCTGTTGGTGTCACCCTCTATGGATGTGGACCTTGAGGAACCTGGGGTTTTTTTTTGAGTCTGGCATACCTGCCGTGCTCGTAACCCCGCCATTAATACTCATTAGTAGCCGAGGTTCGGCGTGTGCCTTTATCAGCCATTTAGCCACTTTGTGTAATCCCTGGGAGGACAAGAACCGCAACAATATGCGTGTTTATTTGGGTGTGGGCCCTTTCCAAGTCGTTCGTTTTTGTCTATACTCTTAATAATATTAAAAAATACACCCAAGGGGACAACGATTCGGTTTGTTTGGCTAGTTGGCGGTGACGGTGGTGGTGGTAGGTTGATGTATCTGGACGTTTGCTACAGCAGACGCATAAATATCCTTTGTGTTTAAACCCCCAAGACAATTAGAGAGGCACTGGGCGGAGGAGGAGGAGTGAGTGTTTGGCTGGAAAGAAGTGCAAAAATCGTTTTATATCCATTGAGAAAGACAATATAACAAAACAAAACAGTACAGAACAGGATACACACAATGCCACTGACATGCGACGTTTTCTGAAGTGATAAATGATGTTGCCTGTAACTTGCATTGGCTTTTTGAGTAACAGGCGACTCGTCTCCAGTTTTCCAGTTCGAGGCACGTTTATTTGCGCTGTAAAATGGTTTAGCATTTGCCTAGCTCCTGTGTAACACTCTTTCGAATCTTTATTGTTTTTTTGCTGTTTTTTTTTTATTCTTGTCTGACTTCCGTTTCCGCACAAAATGAATTGCATGGCTTGTTTACTGTCATGTTGGCCAAAACGGGTTGACAGGCGCAACGGCAAACGGCAAATGGCAAACGTCGTTTGATTAGCCCCGAGGCGATTCAAAGGCCCGACATCTAATACAAGTGGGAACTGCGGAGCAGATTAAAGTAGCTGTAGGCCCCACGCACAATCTGCAAAAAGGACATGCACTCAGAATCATTGAATTCTCATTTAGGGAGCATGTATCCCCCCCACGTACGTCAATGAAGGTCCTCAGATTCAGATCGACCAGCAGGGCCCGCATCTTCAGCGGCCTTTGGGCATGCATCATCACAAAGTGCAGCCTCCGCTGGAGAGGAATCTGAAAGTTGTACCAGTCCGAGGAATAGTAGGCAAAGGACAATTCATCGTGCTGCAAAAAAACAGAAAAAAAATCAAAGTTTAATCGGACACATCTGCAAGAGAGCAAGCAAAAGGGATATCCCCAGATAGACACAAATATCAACAAAGCTACGAAACGAGAATATTGTTGGATTCATTGTAGGTGGCTTTGTTGGACTCACACATTCGACGATTAAAGTGGCATGCCAATGATATATCCACAGAATAGAGGCCATCACGAATAGGTATATGAATATAAAGAAATAATCCATTTTGCTGGGGGCCTAAAATATAATTAATTTCAAAGAAATACTAAGAAATATAAATATATATATTTATAGACTCACTCCTATTAGCAAGGCAAAGAATAGAAAACACATCAGCACTGAAAATATAATAAAATCAGCCATGACTGGCACACAGATTAGACTTTGTAGCTCAAGGACGAATCTCCGAATTTTTAGTTCCTCCTCCACGAATTCCTTACAAAGTTTCATACGCCAGTGGTCCAATTCGATGCTCGTCATGTGTTCCTCAACCAAAACCGGATTAATTCTAGAAATCTTCAAAGAAAAAATCATATAATGGAACTACTTCGTACCCACAAGACTACTTACATCCATTTCCTCGACTCTTTTGTTCAAAATCTGCAGCTTAAGGTTGACATATTTCATTAGGCAAGTGATGAAAGTGTGCCATAGGGGAATGGTGGTTATGCCCAGGCCCAGGGCATACCAAGGCCCCAAATAGCCAATGAAGAAATTATCGCATAGCTGTCCAAAGGGATAAAGCTGAAACAATAGGATGGGCTGCTCCTCTCCACGCCGCACGGCGGCTGTGTTGAATACGGACTGGGGCAGGAAAATAGTCCTGTAGATGCAGTCGCCCCAGGCCATCAGACCGGCCACCACCGAGGGCACCCACAGCATCAGGGTGATGGTGCGGGTGTACACCTGGGTTTGAAAAAGCAAATCCATCTCCTGGTTATCAGCCTCGATCATGATGTTCCTTATATCCAAATGGGCAGTGCGCAATAGAGCAATGACTCCTGGAAAACGGGCTTCCAATTATAATGATTTTCCATTCAACTGCAGAGACTCACTATCCCGTTGGACATAGGCATTCAGGGTGGCGATGGACACCGCAAAATATTGGACGGCGGTGGCACAGCTGGTGGCGCCATCATTTAGGCTTTCGTAGCCCCTGAACACCCTGGCCAGCATCAGGCCACAACTAATCCAAATGGAGGCCGTGAACAGGGTGCAGCGAAATAAACTAAACCATGGCCTGGGTTCCTCCTCGGAGGCCACATATCCGTACCATCGAAAGTACTTCAAGTGGTATTCAAAAAGCGGATCGTTGAAGGTCTCCGCAGAGAGCAGAAGCTCCTTAACTTTAAACATTCTAACTGGTGTCCTAGCCACCTTTGAGTGGGGGTTTTATAGCCACTGATGAGGTGCTAAGTGGGGCTAATTGCATCGATGCCCTATTAAGTGCCAATAATTGTCCAATAATTGTCATTGTTTGCCGATTTGGTGACAGGTGCTATGGTTCTGCATAGACGATTCGGTTGCGAAGGCATCTGGCCTGAGGTAGGATTGGCCTTCAAATACAAACTGTCGTTGCCAACTTTAAATTTGATTTGCATGTTACTCTCACCAGGACCCGAAACTTTGGCCACATCCACATCCACATCCAGTGGCAGTAATGTCAAACGTGTTTAGACCGAGTTGCATGCGAGGGAAATTAAACTTTTGGCCAACTTTGGCCAGAGTGCCCCCTTCCGGTCAGAGGCAAAAGGCAAAAAGGGTAATCAGGTAATGGAAAATGAATAAATACGGTTGGATACGGAGAGTGGCTTTCCTCGAGGCTTTAAGAATTCTAAGGTGAACTAAATCAAGAGTCAATCAAGTGGTCAGATTGCTTTGCCAACTATCGACCTAATCTCAGGTGGGGTTCGAAAAGGTCCTGAGCATTCAAGGACCTGAGGCCAAATCGAGCAACTCGATTCGGTTTTGCATGTGACAATCATATGCAAAAAGGAGTTGAGTAATTCCCCAATATATACATGGAAGGCATCCAACGGATATTGTATCTGTGCTTCTGGTACGGCACGAGTGTGTCGTCTATTTCACAATTTGCATTTAATATCCTTGTGTGAATAATTTACAAATGCAATAAACGTAAATGCGTCGGAGGAAACGCACTCAGACATGACTCCATAGCGCCGACACCGATCTCCCCCAGTCCCGAATCCTGAATCCAGAATCCGAGTCCACAATGTGTAGCTTGGATGGGCGACACTCTGTACGCATATTTGTATGCTGCATGTTTGCAACAGTCTCTGTGATGTTTGTATTTTGCAAATGTGTAAATGCATTGGCAGCTTCTCGTATTTACCCTCTCTTTCACATCCATTAGACCTCTCTCTTTCTGTCTGTCTGTCTGACTGTCGGGCGTGAAATTTTCTGCAAGCAATAAGCCTGTAAGGATATTGAAAGTCACTCGTTTCTGGTATTTACTTATGCGTTTGTTTCATGTTCTACCAAACGAAAGGGGGGAGGCAAAGTATCTGTATCTGTATCAGTAACAGTGTTTGTATCTGTATCTTCTGGGTGTAGTGGCTTGGCGCTTTTCACGCCACATTTGCCAGGCTGGAGTAATCGGATATTAGCTCGCCTTACTTATTGTTATGGCATATTTATTGCAAGTCGGAATTGCATACGAAACTGCGTTCAGTTTTGTGGTTAACTTGCAGCTTTAACAATCTCATAACTAAAGGGATTTCCCCCATTGGGGGTTTTGGGAGGTTCCTGTGGTTTCCAACCCCGCCCAGCGGCATCCCGATCTCTCCATGACATCGTTGCGGCATCGGGCTTGTGGCATTTCCATATTTACTGCAATTGCGGTTCATTTCGAATGCCTGGCAAGTTTCCGTTCTAAATGGGTTACGAACTATATCCATTCTGTGAAGCTGAATGATATTTCATCAGTTTGCTGAAACTATGGCAACTTGTTGGGCGTGAAATATGGCCATATTTAACCTTAAATAAAGTCTTTCGAAAGTTCATCAACTTAAAGCGCAGCAAGGATGTGAGGTGGCTGGGGTCCTGGGCGCCAACCAGCCACTAAATTGTTTACACGCAATTTCATCAAAACAATAAATCATGCCGCTGAATCGGCACAACAAAGGCGGCGACAATGTCGACGTCCGCTTTTCCGCTTTTCCCCATAGCCTCTCCCCTCCCCCCTCCTGGCCCTTGCCTAACACACTCACTCACTCACCCACCAGACGACGACGTGACGTCAAGTTGACATTTGGTGAAAATCAAATCAAAAGCATTTTTCCGCACAGCGGAAGTGGCACAAGTAGCAGTCGAGCTCAGGGGCTCAAGTCAAAAAGTCAAACTTGGCAAACACACATTTATAACTGGCAGGATATAGGGAGGACCCACAAACACAGAAATAGCATACATAGGTTAAGTATGGTATATAGGGTCCTATATAAAGAGAATATATACACAGAGGAAAATATTCAATAAGATATTAAAGATACAGGAATTCATGGCAGAGCCTTTCTTTTCAACTTTATACAAGACTTTCCAAGACTTTTTAATATCTAATAATTTTAAATCTTTTTCTCTCTGTGTACTTTAGCGTTTTCTGCCTGACGGCCAGGTCATCAATCGTGCTGCTGTGGAAAAAGCCAGCCAGCCAGCCAGCCCGTTTCAGTTGCGCCATTTTATTTAATTTATAAGTATTACATTTAATATTAATTATACGCCACGTAAGCTCATTGCACACGCTGCTGAAAAGCCAGGTCCTTAAACATGTACGATTGCATGAGTGTGAGTGGGTATGTGTGTGAGAGAGGAAGGAGCAAGGACCACAGGTTTTTATTTTGCTCATTAACTATGCATGTTTGTTGGCACTGCAATGGCCACAATGGTCAACAGCGATGGGCGCTCAAAAGGGGCGTGCCAGCCGGCAATGGTCAGAACGGGAATACAGGACCAGAAACAGGAGCAAATTCCCATTTTAACCCCATTTTTTTTCTTACTTTTTCTTTGGCAATGCGGAAGGAAAAGAAAAATAACTGCGAGTTTCAAGTAACATAATGCTAAGATGATGAATATTAAATACTCTTTCAAGATATATTTTTAAAGAGTTTATGTTGGTTTTATACAGATTTATAGAATCTTAATATCCTTAAATTATAATTTTTTCAATTATAACTATTTCAAACTTATAACCAATTCCTCTATACCTTAATTCAGAGACAAGCCAACACGAAGCGTCCAAGTAAAAGTCCATAATGTTTAAATTGTGGTTCTCTACAAAAGCGAAAAATCAGCACAGCGAGTTTTTATTTGCATTAAGAAATTATAATTATGGCAGCTGCTTTTCCTCATCTACTCCCAGTCCTCAGCCACCTCAGCCACCCATTTCATCCGTGTTTCTCTACCACTTTTGGGGTTACTTTTGCCCTTTGCCGTAGTTTGTTGGCTTGTGTCTGACGGGTCGGAGTCCCGTCCTGGTTTTGGTCCTGGTGCTGGTGCCTGGTTCCCTGAAAGCCCGCCCTGACTGCGTGGGGGGCACGCTTTTTTAATTGAAAAGTGCAAAATAATGTTAAAGAAAAGTAAAAAGTAGTCGTGGCACAAAGTATACGCCAAGTATTCCGACCCTTGCCGTTTGGAATCCCGAGAGGCACGCCATCGTTTGTTTGTCCCTGTTTGGTGTGGGCAGATGAATGCAGTTTGTTTTTTTATTCCCTTCAACTTTTTGTATTTATTTCACTGCGCCAAAGGGAGCAGGAATCTAAGGGGGGAGAGACTGGGTTGCGTGTCCTGCTTCAAGGGGCGTCCCAAGGCATAAATTGTGGTCGGGAGGATAATGTTTTCTTCTGGCCGGGCTCTACCTGTGACTTTCTCCGGTAAGCCTTAGGGTGAATAAATCTTTGGGGGACTGACCACTTGGCCAGCTGCAAGAATCTTAAAAGTTGCAATCACAGAAATTTCTGGCCTGTTTTGACTTTGGCTTGGATTGAGTGTGAAGTCCAAGCCTACTATCTGATGGCTCTTGATCTAATTCCTCCAATCAGATCAATCACAGCTGCTGGGGCTATTGAGCTGCAAGTGTATTATTGGCGGGGCCAATCGCAAAATACTTCCTGTGGGCCATCCAGCTCGAATAATATTATAAGTTAGTTGCCTTTCCACACTTTCGGAGGCTCTCTTATCTAATTTGCAGCGCCCGGTATCAACACTTTGTAAAGCTGCCATAACGAGCGTTAAGTGGATGAAAGCCAGCTTCCATTTATCGGTAATTGCGTCACTGGCTGCGATTGCGATTGTCTGGGCACCTCTTAGCTGCGAAATGCATAGAATTTGCGCTACTTATGCTAAAAATCGCAGCTGCATTCCAACCACCTGGCCGGGCCAGGGCCAGGGCCCGGGGAAAGCCAAAGTAGGAAGGAAAATCGAGTCAGAGTTTGCCATCTTCAATCGGCGGCGAAGGCCAAATGAAGCATGTAATTCGCCTAGAACTAGCGCTGCAGCTTCTACAGCTTCTATAGCATCTCCAAGCTACAAGTAATTCCGAATTGATGGCGCGAAAATTACGACAAGCGCTTTGAGCCAAAGTTAAGAAGCCGAGAACAACCGTTAGGAAGCTCCAGAGCCAGTCAGCCGTGAAATGCAACTTGCTGGCTAAATTGCAGCGTGCAGCACATTTTATTTGGTGGCCCCGAGCTACTAATTGTATAAGACAAGAGATTGAGGAGTTACCTCAGAGCCAGCTAGATGGATGGATGGATTGGTTATGGTTCGTGTGTGTGTGCCAGCTAGCTGAATGGCTGTATGGTGGCGCCTGTTAGACGGTTTAGTTTGCAAATTGGCCTACAAACTTGTCACCATTTATCTCACTCAGTGTCAGGGACGGCATCTCGAAGGCGTTTGGAGAGATGATGATGCCACATCCTGGCATGGAGATTCGCAATACGCCAACTTATTGGAGTGCGCGTGTCGAGGATAGCCGAAAAAGTTTGCCAGTCTGCCAGTCTGCCATAAAATGCGTGTCGAGAACACAAAATGACACTTAAGAGCTGCGAGTGTTCGTTCTGTCGTGACAATATTGAATATGCCATGGCAAACACTCGCCGCACACTCAATCAGGTATCATTTAGGAGGCGAACCATCAATCTTGGCATCATCATCAGTGCCCCAAATCCCCAGTCTACAGTTTCCATTCCCCACGTCACCCGACAGCGTCTTATCTCGAGTGACATGCCGACGACGTACGCAGAGGATAGGCAAATGTATTTGGCAATGTTTGCCATTGTTTGGCCAACAATAACAATTGATGTCACCGGCAGAACCGGCAGTAGTGCCCAAAAGAGCCCCCCAAAAATGCCAAACTAAAAGCGTTAAGACTTGAGCGTAAAAAAAACCTCATCTTTTGTATTGCATACTTTCAGGCGCCATTTGAAATTGCTATAGAATCATGGAATATGGGAATATATATGCTGGTGTCTGAAGAAAAATGAAAGTGTTTGGTTTTCCACTAAACAGAGTCCTGTGTCTGATGTTCGACATGGCCATCAATCTGTCAGTTGCATGCATATTATATTTTTGTTATTTATAGACGAGCAAATAATATTGATGCACTTATCCAAAGGTGGAGTGAGATGTCTTTTCAGTCCATTGACGAATTGAGTGCTTTAAAAGGATTTCTATGAGAATACCCTATTAGTAAATTAAAACTCATAGTCCTCTACCTTTCAACATTAATACTCCTGCCAATATTATGGAGAAAATACTGGGCTTCCTTAGAAATCTTTTATACAAAGAGCATTGACTCTGGACATTTTGCATGGGTCACGCCTATGGAAACGTGCAGGACCTCCGGATATTTTTGTGTGAACCAAGAGTGCCCCCCCGACCCCATCTTCTTCCTTTAGCCATTAACTCTTTTGAGCTTTTTGGTTGGCCATTGACATTGCACTCCCCTTGGAGCGGCTGAGAACTCGTCAACTTTTCTGTTCTGGCACGCGCTTTTGTGCGAAAATATGCAATTGAAATGTTAAATAAATAAAGGCGTAAATACTTGAAGGGTAAGCCAACAGAACAGCGAGAAGTGAGCACATTCAGGGGCGGCTGGATCCGGCAGATACACAAAAGTACAAATACTAGTACACAGTACAGCAACCCGTTATGCATTCCATAACTTTGCAGTCGTCGGCAGACGTTGACGTTGAGGCGAATGAATGAAAATATGCAGGCAACGTGATTCCGCCACAGTCAGCAGGCCACACCGAACCCAATGCCATACCGAAAGACTCCCCAAACACCCAGGACGCCCCAAAAATACCACCACCCCCTCCCTTCCGTATCGCTCCATTTTGTGACTTCCAACTCCGATTTCGAATCCTCGACCTCGTTGGCGACGCCATATTGTTTGCGCGCCATTGGGAAACGTTACCGTTAGCATCGCCATTGCCATCAGCATCCGTTACCTTTTGCCTCTTCGCATTTACCTGTTACCCTGGGAAAAAAGCAACAACAACAACAGCAACATTCGTTTGCCCTGGTATTTTCTGTCGAGTTCAGCGTAAATTCATTCATTTCCACTTGAATTTACAATTATGCGAAACTGTTGTTGAATGGGTTCTGACTTGGCTGATACGGTGCTGGGATTGGATTGGAATGGTTTTTTCGGTGTGGCTACGGATGTGGCTGTGTGCCACCTCCATCCTTAGTCTGGCTTGGTTTATGCATATTTCCTTCGCTTGCATCACCGCCAGCCCCAGCCCCAGCATCAGCATCAGCATCACCGACTTGGCTGTTTAGCTTTTAATAAACTGTGGTTTCTGGCGTCGATTCGGAAGCTTCGATGTGAAGCAGGTGCTCCACCGCGTTCTGGAAATTGTCAAAAACATCCACGACGTAGCTAGTGAAAGCCATGTTGTCGTGGCAACAACATCCCAAGGATCGTGCTCTCCGAAAATCCTTTTCGAACATAATTAAGTTTATGACATTGGGTGTGAACATGACGGATTTACGGAAAGACAGGGTTACACAGGAAAAATATAAAGGGATTTCTATTTTCAAAATTAAAATAAAAGGAGGGACCTCTGCTGACACTATTGTTAGTTTAATGCATTCTACCAAACTAAAATAAAGAACATCTAAAAAACTAGATGTAAAACAAATGAGAATTGGGGAAGATATAGCCATTACTGTGAGCCCTATATGGGAAAACCACATTTTTAAGGCATCCCATCACGAAAAATGGACAAAAAATCTAAAAAATATTTTGTCTCAGGATTTTGATGCAGAATGGTGGCAAATCGATCTAGAAATCGTTTAAGGTACTCCGTTTGGGAATCGGATGAGAGTTGGGAAAGATATAGGAATCACTATGGGCCATATAGTCTGTGGACCCGAGCGATCACTGTGGACCCGATCTTAGGGTATATCAACTTAGACTCCTCCTAAAGCTAGCTTTCTTTTCTTGTTTTACAAATTAGAAGCCACGACTTTTAAAATCCAGCATTTAGTCGAATTTCCCTCTTTATTTTACGCAAATGTAATCCAAACCAAGTCAATTATAAATATTTCATAAAACAAATCAGTGATTTCTCCACATCCCTATTTATCCAGATAAGTTTTCAACTCAAGAGGGCTTATCCCTGGCAAAGTTACTTTTTGCAATAACTTTTTCAGGATGGAAACGAGGTCCTGTCGGAGGGCAAACTTTTTTTTCCACCGACAACCAGGCTGAAGTTTCTGCTGCAATTCAATGTCATATCCTTGAAAAAAGGGGTGCATAAAAAGCAAAAGAAGCCTGGTGGCCATAAAAATCGGCAAACTAAAGTTCTGTTATTGAAAGTTCATCGATGAATGTGAAAGGAAAACAGCTCCTTTTGCCAGGCTGCAGTTGTACGAGGACGTACGAGGAGTGTCCTGGCTTGTTAGCTGCTGGGCTTGCGGCGGCTTACAGCCCATTTCCTTTTTGCTATTCCAACATTCTCGATTCTCGACCCCCTTTGTGCCAAGGTCTACTAATTTCCTCTGCCAGGCCTGACAGCCCAGTCCAGACAGCGTCGTCAGCAGCATATCCTGGAGCCAGGACTTCTGGACTTCTGGACTGTTGGGCTCTTGGACTTCAGGACTTCAGGACTCTGGGCTGCTTAGCCAACATTTGTATGTGGGCAACGCACTGTTGGCCTGTTGTTTGCATTTTTATTTGTATTTCATTTTCAATTGACTGGCAGGAAGGGTTCCTGCTCCACCTCGTCCTGGGTCCTGGCTGCCAGTAGCTACTGGATCCGGGGATCCAGGCGTTTTCTACCTGGCGCGTTCTTTGTGCATTTCAGCCATTCATCAGAGTTATTTACTTTTTAACGAGTTGATTTCATTCAATTTGTTTGCCCAGGTTTCAGTGGCTATTACCGGGCTATCCTGACAGGAGTCGGCCACTCCTTTAAGTCGAGGCTCAGCTCCTTTAAAGTAACTTCTCTTGCTCCTCCTCCCCCCCATCGAACTCCCCAATCATGAGATTTTTCGATATACCATCGAACTCCTCGCGTTGCGCAATTTTCGGGCTCTTGTTTTTCTTTGTCCCTTTTTGGTCCTGGTACTCCGTCAACTTTTTGATGCCTTTGGCGTTCTTCGGTTTCAATAAATATTTTCACAATGAAGAAATTAAAAATTCCTCCGCCCACAATATACCCAGTACCCAGCGAAAAACGCAACTCTCGCAGCCAGCCGCCAGCGTCTATTTATATATGAAAACTTAGTTTGTCTTCGATAACAACAGCATGGCAGGGGTTTGGGGTGTATATCTGGAAAAAGAGTGTCCCGACCCTGACAATTCGATTGAAATTGTTGCCGATGGCTATGATTTTATGAGTGCTCTGTTTGCCTTTTGCCAAAGCGGTTGGAAATAATTAAATTGCTGGCATTTTCCAGATACTTTACAGAATCTTGTTTCAAATTAGCTACCCAAGTAGCTAATGAAATGATTGGATGGAACATATTTGAGTTATTTTAAGTATAATTCTGCTTGCATTTATTACTGGTGGTGGGGCTCTCCTCGACTTTTAAGTAGTCATCCTTTAAATGGTATTAGGCCTTCTTAATTTCCCCATGGAAACAGGTTAGCATTTGGTAGGCCGTGTCACAGGCATTGGCTCCTTTAATCTGGCTGCACTTGTCCACATCCTTGTCCACCTGAGCCTGCAGCGGTGAGCCACTGTACACCTTCTTGATGTTGTCCGTGAGCAGCTTTCCGGAGGCGTCCATGAAACCGCTCTTGACCAGGACACATTGTGTGGCACACTTCATCGTGTCCTTGGCGTTCTCTGGCTTCACCTTGCCCGTTTGCAGATCCGATAGATCCTGCGCCGAAACACCGTTCTCCTTCATGCAGCCTTCCACAATTTCCTTAGTCATAGCATGTTGCTGCTGGGAAGAGTATCAAAATTAAGACTGGTCTTTTAATCAAAAGTCTTAAAGGTAATACAAACTTACAGCCAATATGCCAGCTAGGCAGCTAAGCAGCAAAGTCAATGCGAAAACACTCCTCATATTAGTTGGTTTTCTGGTTCACTAATCGCTGCTTGGAATGGCATCGGGTTTTATAGTTTTTAAAAGCGTTGCACTTTGCGTGACGCTTGGAATTTGTCAGAGCGTTTTGTCTCCATTTCCCCCATTGATTATCACTAAAAAACGTAGTCTCATCCGACACGCTGACTGCTCTAAAAAACCAATGCCAACGCCAATGCCAAGGTTGGCCACCCCCGAAGATCAGGGCTCATTTCCACATCCATAAAATGCTAATATTTCTAAAAATTATCAAGAAACTATTGAGTAATAGGCTTCTTGGAAGTTTAACTAAAAAGTACTAAAAATAAAGAGTAACTAAAGCTATAAATAATTATCCATGAAATTACAATTAACCCTTTGACAGAGCATTTGGGTGTCAGGCTGGTGGAAAATAAATGCATTTGTTTGATAATTACTGCTGCTATCTATTATGCATAATTATAATTTCTAGTTCATATTCGGTTAAATTTGTTTATAAAGTCATATTAGTCAGCCAAAGGCAATTTAGAATAATCATTTTCAACTTAGTAATGGAAATACCTTGATTAATTTTATCGCCCAACCCAACCTAACCCGCTTCGGTTTTAATTAGAAAGAAAGGGCTTCATTGAAATGGTTAACTATCCGAATGCCGATTACATAATTTTCGGATATTTTGTAATTGCATTTGTATGGTATTATATGGTAATTGGCTTTTTTGCCAATGCCACTGCCTAGCTGCGGCTAATGTTTTTATAAATCCTTTTAGTGGTATGAATATTGTTATTATATATAATACAAAAATATATATACATATTATTTTTGAGCGCATGGAGCCCACATTTTCATTTAGTTTAATGGGATTTCAAACGCTAATTGAAATCCTTTTAGGGTAATTGCGAAAAAATTAACGTGAAAAAAATACGTGGAATTTAATAACCCTTTAGTGGGCCACTGGAGGAGCAGAGCAGGGCAGAGCACAAGAAGCAAAAGTTTAGTTGGCCGGCTTGGCCACCGCACATAGCGGTAATTAGGGAAACAAACTAATTTAGTAAATTACTATTTAGTGGCCCCTTTCGCATGAGGCAGCTGGCCACAGATTCTGCCGCATACAAAGGTCATTTTCGGGCTTTGAAGTTGTGGGCTTTGAAATGCGCCAAAGGACATTCAAACAAATGGCATCCTTTGTGTGTTTTCCTCAACGTCCAAATATATATGTGTGAGTGCGTATCCGTGTGTACACATTGCAATTGCTGTCGAAACATCAAAGCTATGCGAGTTTTCCAGTTGACTTCATCAGTAGATTGTGTGAAGTATGCCAAAAATGTGTTCGAACGCTCTCCTTTTTCCAGCTCGTCGTCGTCATCGTCCTTTTTCGCTCGAGCATGAGGTCCTTTTAGTTGCCAATTTCGACAAATTCGCCTTAAAGCCGTACTTTAAGCCCGGGCGGAGTGCCCTGGCCGGACACGTGCGCGGAAACCAAACGCTTCCATCGCGATTGCTCCGTCGATGGAATCTAGTTCTGCCTGGCAAGGCAATATTGGCCAAGCTTTTAAAATACATTTTTTTACCATGTACTTCAATCTAATTGACGCGTGGCCCTTCTTCTGTAGAAATTTGAGAACCCAGAGGACTGCGAACAGGGAGACGTGGTATCCAGCCAGCGGCATATGCCATTCAATTAGTTTAACGCCCACGAGGCATTAGCATCGAGCGTTTCATTTTACATCGATCAAAGCGAGCTTAAAATTCAGTAAAAAAAACCTAAAGATTATATTCCTTAAGCACTTGTTAGCCAGGCTTTAAAATTTCTTTATTACTAAAGTGTTGAATGCCTTTTCGTGCCACAAAAGCATTTTCCAATTTCCAGGGCCTACGCAAAAGTGCACAATCGAAATTACATAACTCACCTGGGAGGACATCTACGGCCGTAGACTTTCCTTGAGCCGTCGCCACAAATCCTGGCACAGGATAAATATAAAATGCAGCCAGGCATAAGAAGCCAAGCACAGACCATTGACAGTCCAATGAAGTCAGAGGACTGGGCAGGGCTGGGCAGGACTGGGGAGTATTTCCTTCAATTTATCCTGCTGTTTAAAATAGCAAACTAGACCAGGCCCATAATATGTATGTTCGTCCTCGGGCTTAGCGTTCATGTGTTGCTTTTGCCGTATTTGGCTATTGTCTGGCTATGGCTTTACAACTCATAAACAGCAGACCATCGTCCTGGTACCCCCACAACCTGGTAATAACAGTTTAAGCCCGAGGCTATGCCCAAAAATTGTCCACATCGGTCGTTGTTTAATTTTTTTTTTTGCCTTCTTTTTCCAGCTTGATAACAAGCATTTTTACATGTGCTAAAAAAACAGGCTGAACGACAAGAAGTCGAGCCCAGATGAAGATGGAGCAGGCCTCGGGCCCATCCCCATTGGGCTCTTCCAATTTTTGGCCTGGCTGCATGTGCGTTTATGACTTCATAATGGCCAAAAAGGGAGGCATCAGGCCACGTCAGGAGCACGGCCGTGGCATCGGAGTGGAGTGGTGCCGTCCCAACCCCCAGGTTATCCAGCAGATGCAGTTCATTGAGGGGTGGTTGCTCCTGCTCGTGCTCCAGCTCCTGCTCCTGTTATGGATTTGCGTAGGCGTTGCGTTAACATGCGACTAAGTCCTTTTATATCCCGGAGCATTCGCTTAGGCTTACGGCTTAGCTTTAGCTTCGGATTCAGCCTCAGCTCCTGGTTCTGCCACATATCTTGGGCCTTAGACTATCATCAATTGCTGTCCCCATGGTGTAGTTAGGGCCGTGGCCCAAAACCCTGGACCCGGGGCTTATATAGGCCAGCACCAGCATCAGCAGAAGCATCAGCGGCAGCGGCAGCGGGTAGTGGCAGAATTTAATGCCGACCTCGGGGAGCTATTGTGGCCATCCTCCATCTATAGCAGCTCCAATTCCAGCAACAGGAGTACCCATCCGCCCATCTTCTCCTGCAAGTTTTATGCTCATGTGTGTGCGGCGCGCTGCCCTGTTTTATAAACAATTTTAAATTGCCGACTCGACCCCCCCACCCCATCCATCCGAGATGATGGCTTTCTTCTTCTGTTGTTTTTGTAGGCAAATTGTTTTATATGTGCGATGGCTCTTCTCTGCAGTTTATTGGCCAGATTGGCCAAGAGTTTGGAGCCGGGGGACCGGGGCTCCGCATAACTTTGCATAATCCCAACGAAACTGAAACTATGTGGCTCCCGTAATGCTCCACATTAACTTGGGGCCCTCAGGAGTGTACGCACATACTTTGTAGATTGAGTATAAATCTCGACAGAAGATAAATAAAAACCAAAGATGATGTGGAAAAAATTAGGAATAAGCACAAAATAATAAACCATCCAGAGCACCAAAGTCTCAAAACAAAAAAACAATATCTAAATAGAACAAAATACAAACAAAAAAGGCAAACAAACAGTCGTCGTAGTCGCCGTGGATACGGCAATGCGCCATGCGGCCATGTGGCACACATGCTGCACACCTCTCACTCTCGGTGGCATGCCACCCCATATAGAGTACATAGAGGCCGTGGCACAGGCCCTACTATTCCTGCCCCAAAATCCCGGATCCACCTTTTGGAGGCACTCGGCAGACCGCATGATTTCATCTTTCGCTTTCGTGCAGACAACTAACGCGAGGAATTCGCGAAGATGATGGGGAGTCTTGGAATACTCTTTCTTAAGAGAAAGTAATATTTTTTAAAAAATACATACATAGTTCTATATTCTTTTATATTCAACCCTTAATGTTTACCAAGGTTATACAATATAAAATACAAATACAACTCGTCCCTCGAACTGAAATACATTCCTTTCACTTTTAAGAACTTCCCAATGAACTTTTATCCGTAACTTCATATTTATACACCTCCAGGGTATATTTTCTTCTACTTTCTTTTATTTTTTGAATACGAAATTCATTTTTTCATTAAATTCGCCTAAGCAAAATGCTATCCCCGCCGTAGAAGCAAGTATGGGAGATGATTTATGGAGCAGACTTCATAAAGTTCATAAATGTCGCGGCAAGCAGGCGGCTGGCAGAAAAGAGGTGTGTGCTCTACTGTGTGTGTGTGCCAGTGTGTGTTTGAGTCAGACACTACAATAACAAAAATAACAAAAACAACAACAACAACAAAAGCAGGAGAAACAACATTAGTAACCACATTCATGCAGTTGACACTTTCACCAAGCCTGACCAAAAAAAAAAGGGGGGATGCGTGCCGCAGACAGGGGGCACATTTTTGCGCATTTAATTAACTAAAATGCTATAAATATGATTTTAAATTAATTTACCTGCGTGAGTTATTAATTTACAAAATGCACGGTTTGCTGGCAACGGAATGGGTAATGGATCGTGGCCAGGAGAGGGCTGGCGAGGCGTGAAAAATTTACGATGGGTGGGCTGGGAGCCGGGTGCTGGGAGCCTGGCAAAGTGCCATCTTGTGCTCCAGATTTCTATGCTTTTCGGCAAATTTATTTACGACCGGTGATCTTCTGGTGGCCCAGGCCGAAATTGAAGCCCAATGTTCTGTATCCATTTGTTTCCTACTTATTACATGGATCTCTGGTCGTTTCTAGGCATTTGCCAGATTCAATCTCCTTCCCGGCCCCAACGGAAAAAAGAGCCAGAGGAGAATGAAAAACTGTGGCAACTATCGCAAAAACTAATTTCTTGTTGCCCATGGGTCTCTTGGCACCTTACACACGAGCTCCTAGCTCCTGGCGGATGTCCCCGGACAAAATCCATGGCGGAAAGCTGCCAACCGCATTTGAGCCGCCGTCGGGCGTTTCGGAGGGTATTAGACTGTCTGGTCGCATATCGTGGCGTAGTCAAATTTCCGTCCTGCAACCTGCAACATATACAGCCCCAGCCCAAAAAAAAAAAGTCACACACTCACGCTCACTCCAAGGGACATCTAAGGGAACAGGAGCAACCCGGGCAATTGCAATCTCCAATTTCAATCAAAAAACCGCCGGG